CATGCAAGTATAGTCAGATTTTAGGTTAATAGAAACAAGGGAGTTTTGGGAAGTGATATAGCAGTCTTTGTGCGATTGGAGCAAGGGGACGCGACTACGGATTACGGATTGCCGGCATAGTTCGTACGAGTATAAGTGATTTATTCTCCTCTCTTCTTTTGTATTACTTTGATTAGCTATATTGTTATCAATTCAATGAACTTGAATCTTGTTTAGACTTGAATTTAATTATAATTTTTGGGTTGATTATTGAGTATTAAGTTTGATTAGTATTCAATATTACACTGTTTTGATTGTCATATGATTGTTATTTCAAGTATAACTTGCTATCTTATTATGTTTGAATTGCAATTGATTGCTAATTATGTGATGATTTGGCCTAGTTTAAGTTGCACAATAAAAGTGGCAACTAATGTTAATTTGGTTCTGCGAATGGGTCGAATTAAGATTAGAGTGTATTTTGATCTAATTATATTAATCACCTATGTGTTAATTGATTAGGATTAATGATGTTCTTCTAGTTCCGAATGCTTCTAGATGTAGTCGTTGTGGTTGCGATCATATTTGCAATGGCAAGTCTAGTTTAGGATTAGTATCGGCCTAATTCAATACTAATTTAAAGTTAGGAAGAATAGGGTGGGATTGCTATCAAAACCACTACAGTTAATCTATTAAGTTAATCTTTGATTCAATAATTATACTCAATATTATGGTTAAAGTTCCAAGTTTAATGGTGGAAATTATCCGGCTAGCTTGTCATCACTTGTTTTTATTTTTCATCGATATATTTGTTCCGATTCTCAAAACCCCCCCATCTTATGTAAATAGGTATATAATGTAAATAGTATTCCTTTTATTCTTTTATATGTAACTAGGTATATAGTTGTATTACATGTATTATTAGTTAAGCTTTGGATTTCGGAAATTATTTAATTTCCTCGTGGGATCGACCCTTTCTTACCCTTTTACTAGTTGTTTATATTTTTGAAGGTTAAAGGTAGGTTTTTAATTTAATACAGTAAACGACACGTATCATATAGAAAAGATGATAGTTGAAGCCATCATCTATTCTATTTCCAGTAAAAATTCTAGCCCACAACACCTTAGTATTAATGCAGTCTCGAAAGAGATGAAGATGGTCCTCATTATCCATGTCGCATCTTGTGCAAATAGGATTGAAATTCTCAAAATAACAGCTAGAACAGAAGCAATAGGAAGAATGGAGTGACAAATGTTCCACACGAGCATCTTGTATTTGTATGGGACATTTAGGTGCCAAACCTTTTTCCAATTAATAGCAGGGAAGGAATGGTGTTTAGAGAAGTTTGAGATTAGGTGGTAAGCGCTGCTTACTATAAATTGGCCTTTAGGACCAATGTGCCAACACATAGTGTCTTCAACTGAAGCTATGATAGGAAGAGTATCATACTGCATAAATACTCAGAGATGATATGACGGATTTTCTCCACATTCCATTGTCCATTGGTGATAATGTTGCTAAACCTCCAATGAGCAATGGAATCCGGGATTGGAGTATCTATAGTAAGGTAAATAGGTTTATCCGCGACCTAATGGTGATACCATAAGCATATGTCATGACCATTTCCCACCCTATAAGTGTTTCCTCTCATAAGAAGCTCCTTCCCTTTTAGAATATCTTTCCAAAAAAGAGAGTCATTAGCATTAGGGAAGCAATTGAGGAAAGAGGAATTTTTTATCTAGCTCTAAGAATTTTCACCCATAATTTGTGAGATTCATGCAAAATTCTCCATCCAAGTTTAGTCATAAAAGCCAAATTCCAATTTTTTCAGTTTTCGAATCTCAGGGGCCTCCACACGTAAAGGAAGACAAATTTTCTCGCAATAACTAGGAAGATAATGGGAACAATCCACTTTATTCTAAAGGAATCGTCTACAACTTTTCTCAAGATCATCAAGAATAGCACAAGGAATAAGGGTTGTTTGCATTGCATAAAGTTCTTCCCACCATATTCAGAAGTTTAGCTTGCCATCCTCTTATTCAGTCCTTCGTTTTAGTAAGAAAATCAGCGTAAGCAACTTTTCTAAGCCTATACGGGCTTATGTTTACGCCTAAATGCTTTCCAAAAGAAGGTGCTCCCATGATGTTCGAGGCATTGAGGATTGCAACTTTGAGAGAAAGGCATATTTTGGGAGGGAAAATGATTTTAGACTTAGTGGGACTTATGAAAAGCCTCGACTTATTTAATTTCCAAAATCAAGGAGGGTATCCCTTATCACCTCTACATTATCAATCGGCGCATTTGCAAATAGAAAAACATCATCTGCATAGAAAAGGTGGAAAATGTTCACCTAATTATCAATTTTGATGGATTTCCGAGCCCTACCTTTTGCTTAATCAAAAGAGATAATCTCTCCAAACACAACACAAAAATATAGGAAGAGAGAGGGTCACCTTTTCTAATACCTCGAGGGAGTAAAGCTCTCGGTGATCTCCCCATTCCAAAGATTAGAGATAGAAGCTAGAAGTGGTAATGCAACTCATAGTGAGCTTAACAAACTTATTCGGAAAGTTCATCCCCAAAAGGGTTTCCCTAATAAAACCCCATTCGAGACTATCATAGGCCTTAGAAATGTCAATTTTGAAAGCCATTAATTTTTTTTGCTAGCCCTTTTAAAATAAAGAGCCACCTCCTTAATGACAAGAATGTTTTACTCAATACAGCGGCCTTGGATAAAGCTTGATTGGATCGGGTTAATAAAATCATTAAGAAGAGATTTAATTCTATTAGAGAGAATTTCTGTGATGAGCTAATAGATGGAGTTACAAAGTCCAATGGGTCTAAAATCACTCATGGAGGCCGGTTGATCAATTTTTGGAATGAGAGTAATGAAAGAATTGTTGATGTCCGTAGGAATACTAATACCTTCGAGGAAAGCAGTAGAAACAAGATTGGTGATCGAATTGCTTACGGTCTCCCAATATTTTTGGAAAAAATTGGTTAAATGCCATCTAGTCCGGGGCTTTTCATAGGGGCCATCGAACTTAAGGCATTTTTTATTTCCAGATTACTCACCGGGCTTAAGAGTATGGCATAATCAAGTAAGCAACCTCCCCTATAACACCATTAGGGGTAAAGGATATGGTTCTAGGTTGGGAAAACTGTTTCGAAGAAAATAGATTCTTAAAATGTGTGACACACAAGTTTTTCAGTAAAATTTGATCATGAACCCATTCTCCATTATCATTGTTTAGACTAAGGATCTTGCCCCTACTACTCTTAACTTTGGCTAGGATATGAAAGTATTTTGTGTTCCAATCTCCAAACTTTCTCCAATCTACCCCAACTTTTTGAGCCCATGCAATTTTCTCAATTTTCAGAGTATTATGAAGTTGGTTTAGCAAATCTTTTTCAAGGTTAATGAGGAAGGAGGAATAATTCAAGCAAAGTGCTTTTTGGGTTGGATTCTGGCAATCAATCTATTTTTATTATTGAGATTTGCATTAAAAACATTTTTATTCCATAATCTGGCCTCATTAATAAAAATAGACATTTACTCCGCAAATCTGTTGTTACCCCTTCCCCAAGCAAAATTAAAAAAACTCATCAAACGAAGAGTTTTCTAACTAAGATTCCTTACACCTAAAAGGATAATTGTCGTTAACTTCATGAGGATTAGTATTAATTAAAATTGGGCAATGATCTAAATAGGTTCTAGCAAGACGAAATACCCGAGTAACCGGATGAATTTTTAGCCATTCAGCATTGGCTAGGGCTTGATCTAGTCTCTGACGAATTAAATTAAGACCATCACGCCTCATTGTTCCAGGTATAGCTTGGCCCATTGTGCCCTAGATCGATCAAACCAACTTCATCAATCCATTGTCTGGAGAGTTTGTCACTGGTCTTCCACCCATCTTTTCTTCAATACAATGTGTTCATGTTTAGTATTACGTATTAATTTTCTATTTTGATTATTTTATACAAATATAATCAGATAAGAAAGTTGGAGGTGACATGTATATATTTCGTACAAAAAATTGAATATTTACTAATACAAAAATGAACATATTTCACCCACCTACAATTGGTGAGTAGCAATTTGAAAAAGTTAAATTTTCTGAAAATGAACATATTTCTGATAACAGAAAATGTTTTTTTTTTTTTTGGATGACAGGAAATTGATAAAAGCAATAAACAATAAAATGATGTCATTTTGGGGGTGAAGGTTATTGCATAAGGATGTAGGCTAAATTTTGCAGCTCTTGTACCATACTAGGTTTATCTATCACAGATCGAGTTTTTTTACGAGTCAGGCTACGAGTGTACCAGTTTGGGATAGGCTACAAGTGTTGTTTAAGCACTTTATTTTTCATAACGTGCTTAAACAACACTCATAGCCTGACCTATGCTTAACTCTAAGCATATCATATCCACCAACGCGTTTTCTGTGTGGCTGGCCATAGTCCCCAGTCGGTTGACACACACCAAAATACTAAATGGGTAATCCCTGACCGATTGAGTAACCCCAAACCAACCGAGTAATCCCTGACTAAATAATCCCTGACCGAGTAACCCCTGACCGAGTAACCCTTGATCAAATAACCCTTGACCGAGTAATCCATGACCAATTGAGTAATCCCTGAATAAATAACCCCGGCCATACGGTACGGACAATCATCTATGAAACTTTGTGCATATCTACTCATTTACGGAGTGCTGAATAGGTGTTAAAAGTGATCTGACCCACACAATTCGAAACCAATCTGAAAGAACCAAATTCAAATTTCAACTTGTATGACATAATAATTTAACTTGACTCCAATTAATATAGACCCAATATGACCCGACCTTACTGGACTCGACACCCAAATTGACGCCCTACATAAGCTTTCTTATTTACTCTGCATTTTTTTTTGCTTGGCAATTTATTTTTTTTATTAACTTTTATTTTTTAAATTTTTATTTTTTAAGCCATTAGCAATTTTTAGTTTATTGACAGATATCTTGTGGTTTTGCCTACACTGACTTGGACTAGGAGTCCAAACAACACATCAATACATTATCATTTAAAGTTGAATACCAACATCCAACTAATCAACCCCAAAAATTAAATCAACCAGAAAAAAAAAAAAAAAAAAAACCCAAAATTCAGTTGAATAGTATCGTCCCTAATCATCCACACACGTTTTCTTTCTCTCTCTCTAATCCAAAATGGATCGATAATATGACTAAAACCCCCAAATTTGTCACTTTTGACCTACTCCAACCTCAATTTTACTTCTCAATTAACCCCCAGAAACCCTAATTTACAGTATGATTCAAACCAAAAAACCCCAATTCAATCTGCTGTTCCTAATTTTCATAGGGTTAGGGTTTTGTTTGAATTTGGGCGATGCAATTAAAGTACCCTTTAGGGTGAATGATGTTCTTCCTGTTTTACCCCGCCAAATTTCATGGCCTGTACTTAATAATCTTCATAATGCAGTTGATTTGATGCCTTCTTTTGTGGGTTCAATTACCCCTCAAAATAATGAGTCAATTCAGTGGAAAGGGGCTTGCTTTTTTGAGAATACTGCTCGTCTTGAGTTCCCTGATTCCGGCGATAAGGGCTTGGGTGGTGGTGTTCTTCATCTTACGGTATTTATTATTTTTATGCCAAAATCACGCATTGATCGGTGTTAATAATGTTTAATGTTTCTATTTTTAGCTTCTATGTTGCGTTTATTTACCAAGTTAGTGATTAGATGGGTTCCCCTTTTTATATGTATATTTCTTGTTCTGTTGGCATAGAATTTAGTTGGATTAAATTGCTTCAAATAATGTGCTGGGTCTGAAGTTTGTGTAAGCTGCTTGATTTTATGATTTGGGTCGAATTATTCGCTGAAATTTTGTGCCTTGCAATTTTCTGGCACTATTGTATTCTTTTTTCTTCTTATTATTACTTGATCATGAATTAAAGAAGCCTTGGTAGTTACTAGATGAATTTACTAGAGCACTCATCCTACTGAAGTTGATAATCATGGAAGTTGGGAAGTCCTGTTTTTTATTGGATTTTTCAACTATTTTAGAATTCTGTGTCGCTTTCTTTTTGAAGAACCTTGCATTATCATCAGTGATTGTGTAGATTTATTATCTAAAAAAAAGAAGACATGTTAGTGATATGCATCATTGATAAGCCATCAGCAATGGAAGAAGACTGAGTTTCGTGATTGATCATCTGTGTTGACCTCCTTATGTTACCTGCTTTCTTTGCAGACGTCTTCAGCCCACAGTTGGACCTGTATGGATCTTTATGTTTTTGCAACGCCCTACAGGGTTACTTGGGATTATTATTTTGCCTCCAGTGAGCATACACTTAAGTTTGAATCGTGGGAGGAAGCTGCTGAACTGGAATATGTATGGTTTAGTTATATTTATTTTTTAGCTTGTAAAATTTCTCCTAATGTTGAGATAAACAATTGTTTTTTTTACTGTCCATGGAGCAGGTAAAGCAACATGGGATATCAGTGTTTTTAATGCCATCTGGAATGTTGGGGACTTTCCTTTCTTTGGTGGATGTTTTGCCTCTATTTTCTGATTCAGCCTGGGGTCAGCATGCTAATTTAGCTTTTCTTGAGAAGCACATGGGTGCAACATTTGAGAAGCGTCCTCAGTCTTGGCAGACAATAATTAATCCAGAGGATGTCCATTCTGGGGATTTTCTGGCTGTTTCAAAGATCCGTGGTCGTTGGGGAGGATTTGAGACACTAGAGAAATGGGTCACTGGGGCATTTGCTGGTCATACGGCAGTTTGCCTAAAAGACGAGTATGGTAATCTTTGGGTTGGTGAATCAGGGCATGAGAATGAAAAGGTATTTTCTGAAAGTAATGCTAGTTTGATCCTTATGTCCAGTGCTTGTATTTACTCCTTTGCAATTGTAGGGTGAAGAAGTTATTGCGATCATACCATGGGACGAATGGTGGAAACTGGCGTTGAAGGACAAATCCAATCCACAGATAGCTTTGCTTCCCTTGCATCCTGACGTGCGTGCAAAATTCAACACTACTGCTGCTTGGGAATTTGCACGAAGCATGTCTGGAAAACCATATGGTTACCATAATATGATATTTAGTTGGATTGATACCATAGGCGACAACTTTCCGCCGCCTCTTGATGCTCACTTGGTATACCTTTTGGCTGGTTTTCATCATCTTTGTTATTTTTTGATTCAGAAAATTGTTGATCTCCTTCTATTTTATTATAATATTCCACATCTAGCTGCAAAAATTTATTGTAGCATGTTACTTAATTGAATTATTTGGTGCCGCTTTTGATTGTTTTGAATTTTATTGTTATCTGATCTATTAGGGTGGCTCATTCAGTTTCAATAAATACTGTAATATTGCAGGTCATTTCTGTCATGTCTATGTGGACTAGAGTACAGCCAGCGTATGCAGCAAATATGTGGAATGAGGCTTTAAATAAGCGACTTGGAACTGAGGTAAGCATGGCAAGCACCCCCCCCCCCCCTATCCCTTGACCCATAACTGTTTTCATTTGGTGAAATAGAGGAAGACAGTAGAATGGCATAAGGAATAGTGTAATTTCCTCGGGTGTCAATACCACTATGATCTTTGTTGCACATTGCTTTTGTGAAAAAATAGTACCCTATTCTTTATGATACCAGGCATTATTACATGCCAATTTTTTTTTTTTATTTATTTATTTATTTTTTTCAAGGCACAAGACTGATGTTTAAAATGATGTCTAAATGGCCAGGTTTCAAGATGGATAGATTGTTTTGGAATTATAATCAATATTACATCTTATTAGCTATTAGTAAGCCCTTCAAATTGTAGATATTATTAGCTCTTCAATGGTCTAGGTATATGATTCAAATTGTTTTCTTCTAGAACCTGTTATCAATAGCCCTTTCAAACATTTTAACCTACTAACAGCAAAAAACCAACAAGAAATTAAACATACAAACAACAAAAAATCAAACACACAAACAACATGAATTGCACACAAATACAACAACAAATCGAATGCTAAAACAACTTGAAATTGAATCCAAATACAAACACAAAATCAAACATACAAACAATTCAAAGCCTCGGAACAATCACATGTTTCCTTATCAACCCAGCTCACGACACAATTCAGGATACAACCCTTTCCTGATCTCACAATAAACATCACCATTCAGCTTCTTCTTCAACAATTCCTCCCCCAATTTCAACCCTTTTACAAGAACTTCATCCCCATTAATCCCAACCACAACCTCATCAACAACTCCCATTTTCACACCTTTTTCTCCCTTCAGTTTCCTCCCTCTCATCATAATCTCTCTCCTCTCTTTCCACCCAACTTTCTCCCTATACAACACATTGAAATACTCTGGAAATGTCATTCCGATATCAACTTCACTCATATACAATACTCCTTTATCTTTTCTCATCAGCACATAGTCGTGTGACAGTGCAAACGCAAACCCTGCTGCTGCCGCGTGCCCATTGATAGCTGCGATTGTCGGCATTGGAAGAGAGATAAAATCTGCGATTAAAGATTTGAAGGATTCTACAATGTGGTGAATGATTCATAACATTTCCGGGCTGGGATTGCGCCCACCGTAAGTCGAACCCATTCGAGAAGAACTTGCCTGTTGCGGTGGTGATCAAGGCAGAGGAGGTTTGAGGTGCAGAAATTCTGGGATTTAATGTCGGAAATGGCAGAGCGGATGGCAGTGATTAGGGTTGGGTTAAGACGGTGTTCGTCGTTTTCATCACTGCTTGTTAGGGTTAAGATAAAAATGTCGCCTCGTTTTTCGACACTACACATTCTGACGTTTTCAGATGAGAACTAAGAGTGAGTTTTGTTATGTTCAACTTTCAAATGATATTTGAAAGAGATGAGGATTTGTTTAATTGGTTGGTGTTGCAGTTTATGAGTAATGGTAACATGGAAAGGAACACATTTATAGGAGTTATTTTTGTCAAGGTGTCAATGAGTAATTGCTTTAAGTATTCAATTAGGAAAGATATTTTCATTATTCAACATGTTATTCATGCTTATGATTCATTAATTCATGTTGATATAAATGAATTCGGAAATTATGGTGCATCTAATCTTTCTTTTTTTTTTAATGGTCAATAGTTTAATTGTAAAGTCAGAATCTTGGATTGCCATCTTATTAGCAAATTGATAGCCTTTGTAATTGTCGGTCAGATTAGCTCTTCAAAGGGTTAAATGTGATTATTCTAATGTTTAATTTCCTCCTATGTTCTTACCTGTTATTAATATACTCCGTATTTCAATCAGTTGTCTTTTCCCAAGGAATCTTATTTTAGTTTCCAACTGTCACATATCTTCTGTTTGGACCATGGATACTCTTTTGGGAAGAATGAAATTATAATAACAATAATAACATTAGTAATAAAAGAAGCATGTGTAGATGGCTACAATTGACTAACTAGAAACTTGATGAAAGCTAGCTAGGACAAGCGAAATAAAATTGACAATACTAGCCTATGCCCTATTTTAAAAGTTACTATTTGGAATTTATAGTCATATGAAGTGGAGTAACTTCAAACTTACTGGCTTCTATCCTTTAGTTGCTATCTTTATGCTGACAACAATGGCTATATACAACTTCGGATAATTATGTTAACAGCTTTCAACATGTTTACTAATGTAGGGGAGTTTTATGGATAATTTTTAGCTCGACATTTTGTTACATTATCCCTTCGGAATACCGTAGTTTAATCATAGCACCTTTTACTTTAGGGCTTGGACTTGTACGAAATCCTGTTGGAGATTGAAAACCGAGGCATAGCATTTGAGCAGTTGCTAACCATCCCAGAGCAAGATGAATGGATATACAGTGATGGTAAATCCACAACATGTGTTGCCTTCATCCTTGCAATGTATAAAGAGGCTGGAGTCTTTGATCCTTTGTATGACTCTATCCAAGTAACAGAGTTCACAGTGAGTACTATTTACTTTGTTCAAATTATTTATGTTTTCTCATGTCTTCCTGTTTTGTTCACCTTTTTTGATGCCTGGATGTATGAATGAAATTGCAGATCCGCGATGCTTATATGCTGAAAATTTTTGAGAGCAACATAACACGTTTGCCGAGCTGGTGTAACACTGAGTACGGGAAGATTCCATTTTGCCAGATTCTTGGAGAGTATCGTATGGAGCTGCCTGAATACAACACCGTTGAGCCATATGCCCACATGAATGAGAATTGTCCTTCCTTGCCTCCACATTATCAGAGGCCTTTAAAATGTTGATGGTTTAGGTTAAAGTTATGTTGTTTGTAGTATGTACCACATTCTATAATGGTTTGGAGCATTGCTTTAGCATCAGTTTGCCACATTGAAGTTATTTTGTAATGTGTACATATATACGAGTTATCTAAAGTATATATAGTAGTTGCTTTTGGAGATTTGGTTGGGTAGCTTTATGAGACGGGTGTAAATAAAATGCTTCACTTATGCACGAATAAGCATTTTCAAAAAAATTTACATGTCAAATTTGTTTCCTACCCATTTTCAGCCTTTACTTTTGCTGTGCTAAGTTGATTTTCTCCAAGATCTCATATTAATTCGAACACTTATTTTCAGATGGTTGAATTAGGAGATAAGGTTGTGATTAAGTTATACACTGTTTCTTTAATAGCAAAGTAGATGTGATGAGAGATAGTGAGGTATTTGTATGATTGATTTAATGAAATTTGATTGTAAAAGAAACGTAAGTTTGAGCCTGCCAAAAACTGAAGTGTTCAAATTATTTTCGGATGGTTGAAATGGAAATTGTTCAAAAATATTCAAATACCCAACAATTTCATAAGCTCAAAAAAAATGATTTTATAAAATAATACGTATATATGGTGTACTTCATATTTTTGTTGTTGTAAACTTGTAATGATTCACATTTTTTTATAAAATAAAAAGGTACTCCGCCGTCCAAATTAAATGGACTTATAAAACAAGTTGTGTTGCATTTTTGGTTTTAATATTATTTTACTTCCTCCGTTTTGCATATTCACAAGTTTTCTAATCTAAGCATCTTTGGTTGACGTTTACATATATATTAATTGATTTATCCATTTGTTTTTTCTAACCTCATTCTTTAAATATGTATCAAGACTCATGAGTATGTGTTGTAATCTATCTATTACATACTACTAAAAGCGAAACTAAGAAAACACTTGACAATGTATTATTAAATATTTTCTCTCCAAAATTACTTCCTTAAAAATAAATTCATTGTTATGTAAAAATAAGGTTCGTATATAAATTATGACTTTTACTTTGTATAAATCTAAAGTAAACTCCTAAAATATCAACTTGTACATTGTTTTTTATTACTTTTTTGGGAAATTCTATACTATAACCTTCTAGTATTGACTTTTCCAATCCATGTCCCATCTTTTTGAAAGCTACACACTGTAACCTTCAACTACAATTATGTATCAATATATAGTGACCTTGTCATTATCCTACCATTAACGGTCACCGATAGTGGGGCCCACTTTGCACTTATTAATACTACCTCCGTTTTTTTTATCTGCAACTTTGAGGAATATTTGTGAGACATAAAATATTCCAAAGTTGCAGATAAAAAAAAACGGAGGTAGTATTTTTTTCGATTTGCTTGCTGAAAAAATGTTCTGCTAAAGGTTTTAGGGGTCATTTTGACTCTTCTAGGTTCAAATTGAATTCGGATTTGGCAAAAAAAAAAAAAAAAAAAAAAGTAGAAGCCCCGTTTTGTGAATTCTTATTTTTTCGAAAATCCGAATCCACATATTATCTCTCACATGTATTTTTTTTTTATTTTAATGTATTTCATGCGTTTTAATATCGGGTGAATCAATTCATTATATTTTTATAGATTTAGTCTTCTTCCTCAACTCTTTTCCACCTTTCTCACGTCGTTTTTTTTGGATGCCCTTTTGTCTTAGATTTAGGGGGCAAATACACATTAGTTTCATGTGTAGGTTCATCATCCATGAGATAAGATTCTTCTTCTGTCAAAATTTCATCTTCTCCTCCATCAACACTACAAGTACCACCTTGAAAATTTCATCTTCTCCTCCATCAACACTACAAGTACCACCTTGAACAACGTTACTAGAATTCAAGACCCCTCCTTGACCAACAGTAGTAGTTTGCAAGACATTACGATACCATCGTAAAGGCAAGTAAAATGAGGGTATCTTGAAACAATCTTTATAGAAGAAGACTCGAAGAATATGATGACAAAGAATACCCCAAAGTTCAAAATTCTTGCAACTACAAGTTGTTACTCCATCCCAAAAATATGAGTTGTGTTGCATATAGAGTAAATTTCTACTTTTATATTTCCATGGAAGATAATTGAAGAAAGATGAAAAGGCAGAGCAAAGGCGGCAAAGTTGTAGAGATAGAATAGAATAGAGCCATTAGCATTGGTAATTGGTGGGGGTATGTGCACTGTTAATTAATTGCAAGGGTAATAAGTGCCTTGTACTGCTTACTTCTGTTTTCAATAGCATTCATTTTTGTTTATATTGAAAATATAAAAGAATCTAGACAATATTAATTCTTATATTATTATATATCATTATAATTATTTAACATCCGTGCATTGCATGGGGTTCGTTTAACCTAATTATTTTTAAGAAAATAAAATTTGAGACGATTATATTTAAATATAGGTGAAGGTACTCATAATATTTTTTTTGGGTGAAAGAAAGGGGCAAGCCCCAAGAAACAAGCAAAGACACTATAACAAAGAAACAAACAAAACTGGGAAAATAAATAAATTAGCTCGTCACAAGGCAAACTAAGTCCTATCTGTAGGCAATTAGGCAATATATTGCGGAATTTCACGAATTTTATTCGTTCGCACCTAAACACGATCAACATGAATAACACATAAGAACCACATAATAATACATTTGAAGCTTGAATTCCACATTGCGAATAGCTACGAATTAGGGAGAAATAGAGCCCCAAATGTTGATCCTCTACTCGGCGCACAGGATTCGATTGAACATCCACCAATACTAGATTGGTCGGGTGAGAGAGGAAAAACACCGCGATCACCACCTTCCACGGAAAACCGGCCACCACACAAATCACCACCGCACCACCACCGACGCACACAAGGAGGGACGAGAGGAAGAGAGAGAGTGGTTGGTTTTGTGTTTGCCAATGAGAGTTTGTTATGAACTCTTATTCAAACCCTAGGCACCTAGTCTATTTATAATAATATTATAATTAGAGTAGGAAGCATGCCCAATCCACCTGAAACTCTCCATATAGCCGGTCACCTAGAGGGAGATGCCCATCTAGGGCCTTTTCCTTTTATGTTCAATCTAGGCCTCGTAGTGTGACTTTATAGGATCTGTTCTAATGGGCTTTGGCCTATTTTACTAGCCTACAGATCGTTAGTACTTCTAGTTATGATATCACGATGACCCAAGAGAACGAATTTAATAATCTCCATAATTCGATCCATTTAATATCTAGTAATTGCATTTGACGAAGATATATTCCTTCAATCTCCTACTTGGCTAAGACAAGTGAGCAATATTCAAATTTCTTAAGTCAATTTGTGTCTGAATTGATAATATGATTGCATTACATGTCGAGACCATATTAATCTACAAATCATTTCTTGAAATCAGAGTTTGAATTGCAAATCAAATGATTACTATGTAATCCATTTGACCACGACCATGCATTTTCTCAATTCTCACTCTTCAAGAAGCCCTGACTACACATTTCCTATTATATAGGCAGACTTGATCCAATCTCGTGGCAACCAAATCTCCCACTCAACTTTTGAAGTAACTAGGAAACACCCTTTATAGTCCCCTTTTACGGCATGAAATTGTGGTGCCCCACAATAAAAACAATCATTGGGTGAAAACTTTGTTCCACTCATGTCTAAGGAATCCACTAATGTATCCGGAAGTCCATTACTTGAATGTCAAAGTAGGTCAAAGTTCGATCATGTACTATTCATACATATCCATGTGCTTGACTAAATATCTTTATGTCCATATAGCCCCTGAAACTGCACTATCAATCAATCTTACATGCTAGTTCATTTATTGAAATCATTTATAACCAGTTTAATGATTTCGAACTAAGAACTTAAATAATTTATGAATTCAGTTCACTTATGGGGTTTCATTTACCAAATCACGTATTTGATAGTCCCATTGAAATTCACAATTATTTTTAGACATTTTATTTAATACTAAACCGTGATTAAATAAGATATAAACTTTGTTTTGATAAAAAATAAACATAGGGAAACATGACCGATGATTTTGCAATTGTGACTCCCTGGCACACAATCAAAACACCCACCATCATGTTCATTTCAAATGAGCCTTTTAAGTCTTTAGGCCATTGAAATAGTTTAGTTAAAATGAATTTTACAAATTTGATATTTTATAATAATATTTATCTCCATACACTAAGAATATTTCTTCATCCTTTCGCAAGGAATTTAGGGATTTCAAAATTGTTCCAATGTTATATTGGCTTTCAATTGAAATCTATCGCCACATATTCTTAAAACATGTGAATCAAATAGACGAGTATAGTCCATGTCACGTATGATATATCCTTTGAAAAATGCATAAGGAGCATCACTTAACCCTTAATCTCATTAGCTTTTCTCAAACAATTGAGTCTTGTTAAGCGATGTGCCATGTAATATGGAATTGAAACTCATTTCAATGTTTAACCTTGTAAGAACCTTATCGATATAAGTTTCTTAACTAAGCTCAAATATCCTTTGAGACCTATCTCTATAGCTCTTGATTCCCATATGTACTCATCTTCCTCTTCAAGGTTTTTCATACAAAATGCATTAGCCATCACTTGATCGACCCTTCAAGAATGGAATAAATGCTCTTTGTAAAAATATGTCATCTACATACCAAACTAAGAAGACTGTATAACTCCAACTAAACATCTTGTATACACAAGACCTTCATTTATGAGAAATATCAACTTATTTGATTTTCTCACGAAATTGAAGATTCTAACTCCATGATACTTACTTTAATCCATAAATGAACCTTTTATGCATCCCTAGGATTACTGTGTTTTTAAAACCATTATGATTGTATCACATACAAATCTTTTTTCATGAACAATTTAAAGAAAGCGTTTCCGAAATCCGTTTACCAAATCTCATTAGGTAGAAATCACTAGAAATATCTTTAATAGATCTTAGCAACATGACTAACATAATGGTTTCATCATAGTTAACACTATGAATTAGTTGAATCCTTTAACAACTAGTCTTTGCTCTAGGGATGACAATATTAAATGGATATCCACTAATCCGTTCCACCCGATATAAATAAATGGATGAAAATCCTTGTTAAATGGATGATGGGCGGATGACGGATGAAATGGGTGACGGATTGGGTCGGATTCGGGTGGGGCTCCGTTTCATCCGTCACCCGATCCGTTATCCATTTATCATCCGATCTGTCATCCACTCGTAATATATATTGTATATA